GGGGGGCAGAAAAAAGAAGGGGCGCAAAAAGGGTTTTCGCCGGGGGGGGGGGGGGGGGCGGGGGTCGTCGGGAGAACAGAGAGGCAGAGAGGCTACTTCCAAGAAGCGGGGTAGTGCCGAAACGGGTCAAGAAGGAGAGTACCGCCGGGTGGGGAAACGAAGACAATGGACAGCCAGAGAGACAAACACAATGGTGGTAAAAAAGTTCTTCTCCATGCGTTGGGTGCTGACGCTGCCCCGTAGCGCTTCACCATCGAGCAGGTAACCGTGACAGAGCCACAGGAGACTTTTGCAAAAGACACCATGCAATATGCATCGACACAAACGCCCACAAGACGCAACAAAAAGCGATAAAATAACCCCAAAGACCGAAATAAACCGAATACACCATTTACATTTGTAGTGCCAACTGCAGCTTTACAGGTATACGGATCTCCTAGATGCTCGCCCCCCTAGCGTAGTCTCCTCACTTTGTCGTGTGGAAGCGCACCCCGGACTCGAGCAGCAGCATTGCCTTCTCCTGTCCTGGACTGGCCAAGCTTTAGCAGGAACGTCTGAGGAGCGAGCAAGCCACGCAAGATGCCCAAACGGCCGGGGGGGGGGGGGGACATGAGACAGGGCTGGTCCCACTAAAGGTCATGGTACCTGTGCACGGCGCAAGGCTTGGGGTATATCACGATCAGAGACAAGCCCCTATCGTGAACCACGACACACACACTTGTACAGTTAAAAAATGCGTAGGCAGCAGGCTACAAGCTTGGCCCTTTCGGACGGTGATTTCTCTGCTTGAAAAACAGCAGCGCGCGAGGGGTTGGTTGGTCATACGGCAATGCAACCGAGGGCAAGACGTCGGCGCAGTGCCGCAGTGCAAGGGTCTGGGGGGGGGGGGGCGTACTCTCTTATGCTTTGCATGCCTTGGCGGTTAGACCATTGACCACGCGTCCTCGAGAGGACGGAGCATTGTTCCCACAGGACCGATCACCGATGGCCAATCGTTCCTTCCTACTTTGCGCAAAGGTGGCTCAAAAATGTCTTCCCTAGTTTGTCTATCCTACCGATGTCACTTCCCGCCTTTTCAAACACACTTTCTACTCCCCAGTATCTCTCCTGTCTATTCCATGCCTCAAACATCTCCCTGTACGTCCCTTGTATTCTTCCCAGCTCAGTCATGTACACTTCCCTCTCCTTTTCGTACCACGGACATTCCGCGACTACATGAACACTGTCTTCGCATTCGAAGCCGCAATCGCATTTGAACTTGTCGTCTTCGTCGTCTACCGTCCTATGTCTTCGTCGACGTTCGCGAAGGCCTATGTCCCCGGTCCTGAATTTGACCTTAAGCTTTGTCCCTGCATCCATTGGTCCATGTAGGTAATCCTTGAACCCTATTCCTTCTTTCAACATTCCGTACACTTCTAGACCCTCCTTATCCTTGGATTCTTTCCTTAGATTCTGTTCTTCTCTGTCAGCACAAGCAACAGATATCTTCTTCTTGAACCCCTGTAGACCCTTCGTTTCCAGCGTTTCATCTTCGTCGATGTCCAATCCCTTCCATACGTCCTCTACACCCTTGACCCATTCCGTGGGTTGTCTACCCCTCTTTTTGTTTGCCCACTTCGCCTCCCATACTATTCTCGGCAACCTCTCCTCTCCCATCCCGCACATGCGATACTGCCATGTCAGCTTCCTTACGTCTCTTCCCGACCGTAGGGATTGGATCCCCAATTCTGCCCTGACTGCTGCATTACTTGTGCGCTTGGAGCATCCTAGGATGATTTTCGCTGCTTTCATCTGCGCCTGGGGGGGGGGGGTGTACTCATAGTCGTGCATGCCGTAGTCGTTTGACCATTGACCTCGCATCCCTACAAAGCCGGGACGGAGCACGCCGGGTTCTCACCGGACCAGGCTCTCACATCACCAAGCGCGAAGCGCCGTGAGGTATTTGGCGAGTCGCATGAAGGGCGAGCTGCATCCTGCTAAGGGTGTTCGGCATCTTGTGCTTACTTCCTTGCGTACGGATGACAGCTACGTATGACTTAATTTATTTTCTGGTGCTTTCACTTCCAGAGACAGATGTAAGCACTGTGTAACTGCCTCGAGGAAGCTTGACCATTTTAACACAACGTGGTGCGATCATCCCCCGTTGCGCGGAGTGAGGGTTCTCGACCCCGCACAACATGATCTACTCGACCACCATTATGGTTACCGCCAAAAAAAAAAAACGAGGTAAAAAAAAAAAACGGTAACCTGGTTGCCGAGTTCACGAAGTGAATTGGCTTGTTTTACAACGTCGTTGCCAAGCGACGAAAACCCAATCCCGATGGCAAACACCGGGGGGGGGGGCTTGTTTTACAACGTCGTTGCCAAGCGGCGAAAACCCAATCCCGATGACAAACACCGAGTGGGCGGCTTGTTTTACAACGTCCTTGCCAAGCGACCAAAACCCAAACCCCGATGGCAAACAAGGCCCAGGGGGGGGGGGAGGGGGGGGGGCCGCTTAAACTTTTTGCCCCGGAAGCCACCCAACAGCGGGGCCCTATGCCTTAATCGCTGGTGATTTTGGGCCTTGACGGAGACCCAAATGAACATCCAACAGGGATGACCCCTGGAGGTCTTATTACCCCACCCACTTCTTTCCTTCTTCTTGTCCCCCAATTTGTGGA